GACTGCCCTTGTACTGTTCACCATGTAACTTATTCACTATGTAAGAATTCGTTCTCCATGTAAGAACTTGTTTGTTATGCTTCAGAAGATTGGAGACTGACGAAAATTAGGCTTGGGGTGGATTAATGATTGTGCATTGAGCATTGACTCCCCTATACAGAATTTTATTGTTGTTAACAACCATTTGATCAATAAATAGGAGAGATGCCCTCACACACACAAAAAAAGTACATACTTCCAATTGTAAAATAAATAAGTAACTGGGATGTAATGTATAGCATAAGGAATATAGTCAAAATATTGTAACAACTTGGTATGGTGATAGCTGGTACCTAGAATTATCATGTATATAAATGTTGAATCACTGTATTGTACACCTGAAACTAATGTAATACTGTTTGTCAACTACCCTTCAATAAAAAATAATTATCTAAAAAAAAAATAATAATTTCATGATGATACTCAGGATGATAATTTCATAGGTTGTATTTCATTGGGTTGTTGCTAAGAATTAATTAGCAAATGCATGTGAAGTGCTTAGAACAGTGACTGGCATACAGTCAGTGCTCAATAAATGTTAACTAGTAAGATTTTATGTTCTCCATGATTTCTGCCTATTGGGAGGAGCTCAGCCTGCACAATTAAGGACCCAATGTAGGCCCCAGGCTGCAGGGGCAATAATAATGACGGTAACAATGGGAGCTACCATTATTGAGCACTCACTGTATGCCAGCCTTGGGCTAATCACTTCACATCTTTTCACTGAAGTGCTCCAGCAATATCTCAAAATAGATGCTATTACCTTCTCATTTCACAGACTAGAAAACCAAGGTCCAGAGATGGAAGATAACTTGCTCTAGGTCACACAGCAAGGAAGTAGTGCAGCCAGAATTTGAATTTAGATGTGTCAGATTTTTTCTCCTCTAAGCTACTAGATTGAGCTGCAGCTTGAACTGCGCCCCCATAAGCCCATCTTTCCTGGGTAGAAATGTCCTATTTGTTAGCACAGGGTTAACTGCCAACACCTCTGACAGCTGAATTGTCTGGTGCCTCATCTCCCATCTGCAGAGGGTCAAACTCTTCCTTTTGGGAGACTGGAGAGTAGATTCCTTAGAAGTTTTGTTTTTCTGATTCTAATATCCTCTCCCAGACTCTCTTCTTCAATAGCCAGGATTTGGAATAAGAAGAACCCACACACATCCAGAAAAGCACAAAAATATGTGCCTGGCCTTTGTTACCTATAGTGTCTCATCTGAGGCCATTTAATTAGCCCCCAACCTTTGCAGCCTGGCACTTCCAGACATGCCACAAACAGCACTCCTAATATTTGCTGTGGGGCCGTGTGGCCGTCAGGAGGGGCATGTCTCCTGACAGACGATGAGTTCAGGACACCGGCATTGCCACACCTGCTCCTCTCCCTGAGGACGGGGACCCAGCTGTGCACTCACTGACAACATGGCCTTTTCTGAGCTTGGTCTTGTCTGTCTATTACGTGTTGGCAGGAGGGCAAATGGGGGCCCCAAGGGGAGGGACAAAGATGTTTGTACCTGCAATGTGACAGTGGCTGTGCTGGGCCAACTTTCCCCTATGTTACTGCTTCTCAATATCTGCTTCTCAGATACTCCATGAATCACAGGAAGTATATTTTGCATCATGACCTGTAACACACACACACTCACAATTAAAATGAAAGTTTCTTGCATCTGTACTCACCTTATTATGAACAATGCTTACTCATCTATTTTACTCTATTCCATTCCAGACTACATTATCCTCTCATTAAAAAAGTGCTAATTATGACCCATAAAATAGATTTTGATGTACCTTAATATGGGGTTGTGTAATCTGGGCCTGTGAACTCGGATGGGCCAAAATTCTGTATCTTTATTTTCACTGACCTCTAGTGGAAATACAACACTTCCTTTAGCCATGAATATAGGCAACAAATCATAGACATATTAGCAGTAGTGTGACTAATAAAATTGTCACTAATAAAAATCAGAGTGTTTTGTATACCATTATAATTGTTGCAAAGGTCTTGAAATAGCATTTGTGTTCTTTACTACCTTAAAATTGTGGTAATTACTAGGTCCTCTGCTAGTTCTTGTCATTGAATTTGTTAATAGAGAAGCACATGTATATCACCTATGTAAAAATAGTTTGATATAATTGCTTTTCAATAGGTGGGTTTCTTTTGTAAATCTATGTATTTTATTTTATGAACTTAAAATTATTATTCTGAAAAGGGGTCCGTGGGCTTCATCAGACTGCCCAGGGGGCCATGGCCCATGACGTTTAAGAATCCTTGCACCAGTGGGGCTCAGCGCACAGTTTATGAGACACTGCCTGATGCTATGAGCCCCTGGAGAGCAGAACCCCAGAGTCTCTAACCAGGGTGGGGCTCCTGAGCCAGCACTTAAGTCATATCAATGGCCAATGTTTGGGTACTACTTACCACATGCCTGCCTCTATATTAGGCAATTTCTATGGCTCGTTTGTTTTCATCTTTACACCAGCCTAGTGAGATGGGTACTATTTTTTGACCCATGTCTCTGTCTCTTTACTCAACTGCGTTTTTCTTCTTAGCTCCAGACACGTCGTACATTTTTCATCTGTTGATCGGTGGCCTAGCCCTCTAGGATATGCATCACTTGAAGGCGGGGTTTTGCTTTGCTGACTGCTACATCCCCCAAGGACAGGGCTGGAACTAGGGTGAGGTAAGTGCAGGATTTAAGGCAGTGTCCAAAACTCAGGAAGCAAGATAAACAATATGTAAAAAATAAAAACCAATGTAAAGAATAATCTGTGATGAACATGAAAGTTTCAGATACAGACAGACTCCGACCCTGGACTTGTACAGTCACGCCTCACTCTCATCTCATTCCTGGCCCTGAGCGGCTTAATACAGAGCTGTCGCTTAAGTGAACTAGCCTCATTCTGCAGATGGGGACACTGAGGTACAGGGGCTAGAGACCTCCCCAGTGTCATATAACTAGTAGGGGAGGAATCAGGATTTTGAACATGGCTCCAGACCCATTCTTCTTAAACCCCGCATTGCTATGCCTGATGAATTGCTATACTTGATGCTTTTGGCAGAAGTAGCAACCTGGTGAAATGGGGCAGATCCGGGTTAACCTCTCAGCTTTGCCACTTCCTAGCTAGTGACCTTGGCCTAGTCACCTTGCTGCCCTTGGTGTCAGTGTATTATTTTCCTGATTTCATTGAGTTGCCTTTCTGTGCTTTCTTAGAGCTCACTTAGCTCCCTTAAAACAATTATTCTGAATTTTCTTTATCAGGCAAATGATAAAGCTCCATTTCTTTGGGGTCAGTTACGTGTAACTGTCGGGTTCCTTTGGTAATATCAGGTCTCCTTGATTTTTTTGCTTTCCTTGAGGTCTTGCGTGGCTGTCTTCACATTTGAAGTATTCCCCTCCTCCAGTCTTTCTGACTGGCACTGGGAAAGAAACACCTTTAACCTGTCAGCCCTTCGAGGGATTTGGAATCTTTTTCAGATCTTTTCTATGGAAACATCTCCACACTTCACGTTCTCTTTTGGGGAAGAATTCTTAAGACTGTATGTCTTCTCTCAATCCTGCAAAGCCAGACTGGGTGCTGACAGCCTCCCATTTGCTTTCCCCAGGGCAGAGCTGAACGCTCAAGCTTGTGTGCTTTCTTCCAGTCCTGCACAGTTCTTGCGTGTGTTCACAAGCCTTCTGTAAAAGCTTACACTCATGGCCCATGGCGTGTGTGTGTGCGTGATACATGGAGCATTGCATCTTGGTTTTTGATCCACTCCGACAATCTCTTTTAATTGGTCTTTTTAGATCACTGACATTCAAAATGATTATTGGCATGGACTCTTATCTACTATATTTGCTACTGCTTTCTCTTTGTTGTCCTTGTTCTTTGTTCCTATTTTTGTCTTCCACTTTTTTTTGCCTTTTGTGGTTTTGATGTTTTATATAATTCAATTTTTTCTCCTTTCTTAGCATATTATAATTCTTTATTTTTTTAAAACCTTTTTTAGTGGTTGCCCTAGAGTTTGCGATATATATTTAGAACTAATATAAGTTCACTTTCAAGTTATGCTACACCACTTCATGGGCGGTGTGAGTACCTAATAATAAAAAAAAAATCCTAATTTTCCCCTCTTGTTCCTTGTCTCAATTCTGTTACTCATTTCATTTATATGTAAGCATACATGCACATATATAGGATGTATACATAAGCATACATAATCAAATACATTTTTGGCATTATTATTTTGGACACACTGTTGTTACATCATTTAAGAATAAGAAAAATAGAAATTTTGATTTTACCTGCAGTTTTTCCTCCTTTAATGGTCTTCCTTTCTTTATGAAGACCCAAGTTTCTGACCTATATCATTTTCGTTCTCTCTAAAGAACTTAACGTTTCTTGCAGGTCAGGTCTACTGGCAACAAATTCCTTCAATTTTTGTTTGCCTGAGAAAGTTGCCATTTCTCTTTCACTTTTGAAGAACAATTTTTCAGCTACAGAATTCAAGGTTGGCATTTTTTTCTCTCAATATTTTACGTATTTCGATCCATTTCCTTCTTGCTTGCCTGGGTTACTGAGGAGAAGTTGGATGTGATTCTTGTTTCTCTGTAGGTGAGGTGGCTCTGGCCCCTTTCAAGATTTTTGCCTTATCTTTGATTTTCTGTAGTTTGAAAAATAACAGGCCTAGGTGTTTTTTTGTTTTTTGTTTTTGTTTTTTCAAGAACTCTTCCTTGGTGTTCTCTGAGCTTCCTGGATCTATGGTTCGATGTCTGAAATTAATTTGTGGAAATTCTCAGTCATTATTGTGTCAAATATTTCTTTTGTTCCTTTCTCTCTCTCTTCTAGTTTTCTCATCACACATATGTTGCATCATATGTTGCACCTTTTGTAGTTGTCTCACAGTCCTTGGGTATTCTGTGCTGTTTTCTCCAGTCTTTGTTCTCTTTGCTTTTAAGTTTTTGAATCAATGTTCTAACTGGAGGGAAGAATTTATGTTCTGCTGGGGGGGGTGGATAAACAATAAGCAAAGTAAATAAAACATAGGGTGTCAGAGGGTGGTGAGTGTTATGGAGAACAATAAAGCAGAGAAAGGGATGGATTGGAGGGTTGTGTGTGTGAGGGGGTGGTTGCTATTATAAATAGGGCTGTCAGACAGAGGGGTTGCTGAGAAGGTGACACCTGAAGGAGGTGAGGGAGTGAGCCATGTGGTTAGCCTGGAAAAGGTGTTCAGGTAGAGGGGAGAGCCCGAGAAAAGGCCCTGGGGTAGAAGTGTGCTTAATGTGTTGGAAAATTGACTGGTGGCCAGTGTGTCTGAATGGGAGTGCAGGAGGGAAAGAGTAGTAAGACAGGAGGTCAGAGAGGGTCACCGGTTCTGGGAGGGGGGCTGGAAAGGGATGAGGCCAATGTGGGCATGTCTGAGTGTCTGAGGAACAGTGAGAAGGCCAGGGACAGTGGAGCAGGGCACCCTCAGGGGAGAGCAGGGGAAGGTGAAATAAAAAAGGCAGGCAGGGGACGTACGGCATTGCAGACCACAAAAAAGACTTTGGTTTTTTTCAAAATGTGATGAGAAATCTTTGGAAGGTTTTGACAACAAAGTGATATGATTGGACTGACAATGTGAGAGGATCCTGCTGGCCACTGTGTGGAGGAGAACCCGAAAGGGATCAAGGACAGAAACAGGGAGCCTGCTCTGAAGCTGCTACAGTCATTAGGCGACAGACAATGGTGGTGTGGCCCGGAGTGGTGCAGTGAGGGCGTCAAGTGCAGATTCCAGATCTATTTCGAAGGCAGAGCCCACGGGAACCACCGACAAGCCATTCGTTTCAGCACTGTTTGTTACAGCCAAAGTTGGAAGCAACCTTAATGCTCAGTTGTAGAAGACTAGCAATTACTGTGTACAAGAGAACACAGAATGAGGAAACTCTTTGCGAATTAACACAAAATAACTTTCAAGATATATGAAAGGAAAGATGCAAAGTACAGAGCTGTGCTTCCGGTCTGTTACTCTTTGTGCAGGGTAGAAGTAAACAGAGCAAACACACACAGCCCTCGAATTCTGTTCTGTTTTTTCAGTCTTTTATTCTCTTTGCTTTTCAGTTTTCGAATTAACATTCTACTGGAGGAGGTAAACAATAAACAAAGTAAATAAAAATATAGTGTGTCAGAAGGTGGGTAGGTGTTATGGAGAACAATACAGCAGAGACAGGAATGGATGGGAGGGTTGTGTGTGGAGCTTCTGTGGGTGCCCTGAGACATTTTGATGAGAGAAAGTCAGGAAGACAAAGAATATCCGGGTGAGGGTGACACAAGAGCCAAACAACAGAAGCAGAGATTTGGCCCATGAACATAGCATGGGGGGTAGTTACCACTGCTTGCAAACTGGGGCAACAAGCCAATTACATTTCATACCTTCTCTCTTCAGATGTAAGAGCCAGCGCTTCCCCATCCGGGTCCGCAGATTCAGCCTTCCTTACAGATCTTCACATCCCTGTCCCTGGTGCCCTCCAGAAAATAAAACAAAAGTCTATCCAGCTTGTTTTCTCCATACCTTTTTATTGAACTCTGCATACTTCAGTAAGAGACCATTTGCTTAGAAATTCTTAAACATGTGGACATATTTTACAGGACAGGACAGCAGCTGGAGGTCACAATTTCATTGCATCACATGCATAAAAAGACACTGGGTTTCTTGTTTCATTTCCTGTGTGTGTGCTTGTGTGTGTGTGTGTGTGTGTGTGTGTGTGTGTGTGTGTGTGTGTGTATGCAATGCTCATTTTCACTTTTTTAGAAGGACTGGAGACGTCAGCTGACCAGAGATGAACAGGACCCAGGAATGCGGCCCCGAGAAAAGAGCAGCAAAGGACATTGGTCATTTATGGCTAATGTGATTGGCTTGGCCCCCATCATGTGTGGGGCGATTGGAATGGCTTTGCTGGCAGAAAAGCCTCAACCTCACACCACAGTTCCTGGGAGAGACAAAGGGTCTTAGCTAATGGGATCATCAGGGTGCATGCTACTGCGGGGGGCACTGGGGCTCAGGGGAAAGGAAGACCCATCGGCTCTGAAAACTGGAGGACAGGTTGTGGTCTTTCCAGCTGAACTCACATGGCTCAGGAATATGATGCGGTTTCCAGATGTCAGCTCCTATGATGCTGCTCTAGCAAGTCCCAGACCAGAGGAAATCCCTACTTTGGCCTCTTGGCTTTAGACTATGTCTGTGAGCTCAACATAAGGCTGATGATGCAGACTAGAGGAGTAGGAAGGAGCCGCAGGCTCCCCCACAGGCCCTGGAAATGTCACCCTGAGAAGGCTCTAGATCTTAGGGCAGACAAGTGTCAAATATGGACATAATCTTGGCCTGTCATTAAGTCAAAGGCCAGATAGTATTGGTAGGGCGTACAGGCTTCAATGGGAGGGCCCCCACATTTCTCCTTCCTTCCCAGTTAGCAATCCCTCAAGCCAGGTAAGAGCTAATGACTCCTCCATTCACTCCTCCATTCATTCACTCTGAGCTCATTCACACATTCACTCATTCAAAGAAACACAGTTGGGTGACCACTATGTGCCAAGGGCATACTTGGAGGATAACCCTGAGTTCCTGGTGCAGAAAATGATGTTCCCAGTCCTTGACCTTGGACTGAAGCCAGGAGGGCAAGGGGGCCAGCTTTCCAG